TTCTTATAAGCAGGCTTGCACGAAATGGCTTTATCGCCCCCGACGCCAGTAAAACTAAGTCTAAATGTTGTTTCCTGCGACATGGGCAACGAAGATGGACGAATGTTTTCGACGAGGGATCGCTTTTGAGGTTTGCAATCTTTTAACATTTCAACATCGATTGCCGGGTAGGATAATGAATAAACGGTTCCCGATTCTAAAGCATAGGCTGGCTGTCTATATGTTGATTCAGGTTTGAAAGAGCGTGGTACCTGAGGTTGTACGTATTTCATTCCCTGATCCAAAATACAAACAATTAATTTTCGTCTTCTTCCTTTTTTAACATTTAAAAAAATTTTTTTTTTTTTTTTTTTGTTACCCTTTGGTCATTTCTTCTTTTGCATTTGTTACAAGGGCTACACCTGATCTTTGCTGTTGTTGTTGTTGTTGTGGTCGTAGGCATTTTAATGACTATTTTCGGATAATCCTGCGGTAAACCCGATCTCAATCTAAAAAAAAAAACAAAATTTTGTAAGGGGGGGGGTGAGGGGGTATATATTGAAATGACGTAACGATAAATAAATTTAAAATTAACATACCCGGATCCCGTGTTGTGTTCATTGCAAGGCCTGAAAGAAAAGTAAAAAAAAAAAAAAAAATTAGGGGAGGGAGGAGGTGCGAGGGGGGGGAAGGAGGAAAAAAAGAAAATTAATTAATAAAATTTTACTCACCCTTCAGCAAGAGGTGGCATTTTTTTTAAATAAATAAATTAATTACTTATGTATGTATCACTTAATTAAATAAATAAACGCAAAGTTTTTTTTTTGCACGCGAGAGAAGAGGGGGAGGGGAAAGATAGAAAAAAAAATGCAATTAAATCCCTTTTAAAATAAACATTTACGATACCAAAAAAAAAAAAAAAAAAGTGAGAGAGAAAAAGATAGAAAAAAAAAGAGAAAGAAAAAGAAAAAACTTAGAAAATGCTGATAATGGTTATCGCCATGATGTTATTTAATATATTTTTTTAAATCAAAAAATGTTATTATTATTATTGTTTTTTTTTTTTTTTCTTTTTTCAAATTTAAATAAACATAAATAAAAACAAATTAATAATAATAATAATAATAACTAACGCCGCGTTTCTAACTTTAAATTTTTCTCTCCGCCCCTTGCCCCGCCCCCCCCCTTCGTAAAATTAATCAATCGGCCATTCATAATTTTTTTCTTTTTTCTAACTAAATAATAATAATAATAATTTTTACTAATTTTATCTACACTATATATACATAATTGATTTTTTCCTTAGGGATCTTTATTAATAATAATAATAATGATGATGATGATGATGATGATGATGATAATCGATTCCTTTGTTCTATTTTAAAAATTAATTCAAAGCGTGAAAATTTAAAAAAAAAAAAAATTATTATTATTATTTAATGATTTAATGAAATGATTAAATATATATATATAAAAAGTACCGTCGTCGTTACCTATTAATTATCATTTTACTCATAATAATACTCATAATAATAATAATAATATTAAAATAAATTTAAACTTGCAAAAAAAAGAAAAAAATTCACAACAACAAGAGGATTTTATTTTATTTTTGGATAAAAATCGTTATTATTTAATCAATAATTTATTTTTAAGGCATCGTTTAAATAAAACAACAAAACAAGAAAATTGTTTAAAAATATATTTTATTATTATCATTATCATTTTAAATATGTGTACAATCATATATATATATATATATATTTATTTATTCATTATTATTATTATTATTATTATTATAAATAAATATAATAAGTTTTTATTTATTTATTCTTCTCTCTACGATTAAACGATTAAGATATAAAAATTAATTAAATTACAATAAATTATTAATACTTAATTAATTAATTAATTAAAATTTAATAATAATAATAATTAAATAATCATTTGACTAAAAATTTTTTAATATTGTGATGGTATCATCATCATCATCAGCAGAAGCAGTAGCAGCAAGAGTAGTAGCATTAGCAGTAACAGGGGTAGCAGTAGTAGTAGCAGTAGCAGCAAGAGTAGTAGCATTAGCAGTAACAGGGGTAGCAGTAGTAGTAGCAGTAGCAGCAAGAGTAGTAGCATTAGCAGTAACAGGGGTAGCAGTAGTAGTAGCAGTAGCAGTAACAGGGGTGGCAGTAGCAGGGGTAGCAGTAGTAGTAGTAGTAGTAGTAGCAGTAGCAGGGGTAGTAGCAGTAAGAGTAGTAGTAGCAATAACATTCAAGTAACCTAATTAATTTTTTTTTATTGTAAAATAATATAAAACATTTTCTTTTTTTTTTGGGGGGGAGGGGGGGGTTATTTAAAATAATAATAATAATAATAACCCATATAAAAAATTTCTTTTTTTTCAATACGATGATAATGATGATGATTTAACAAAAAAAAAACAAAAAAAAAACAAAAAACTTTTGTTCATCGTCCATAAATAACGACATTTATTTATTTATTTATTTTATTTTATTTAAAAAAAAAAAATTATTTAATAATAATAATAATTTGATTATACAAATAATAATACAAAAAAAACACAAAAATAATAATAATAATAGTAAAAAATGCAAAATATATATATATATATATATATGTGAATGTGAAAAGTAAACCCCTCGCATACAAAAAAAAATTAAAATATAAACAAATTAAAATCGTCGGCGTGTATTAATACGCTAACAATAATAATAATAATAATAATAACTAATAATAATAATAATAATATCAAAACATCCGTAATGATTTTGATTATAAAAAAAAATTATTATTATTATTATTATTATTAAAAAAAAAAAAAAAACGTATGATATGTTATACAAGACAAACGTTTTAAAAAAAAAAAAATTAAATTTAATTAAATTAAATATATATATATATAAATTTATAATTAAAGCTTAGTAGATTAAGGTACTAAAAAATTTTTCATTTAATATTTTTCTCGGATTAAAAATGTTTTTTTTTTTATATTACAAAACCGCAAAATCCAAACCGATTTCCCGATTGATTGATTGATTTTTGTTTGTTCTTCCCTTTTGTTATTTTTTTCCGAGGTTATCATCCTTATAGTGAGTTAAGTAAAAAAACTATAGAATAAATCATTTTACTAACAATATTATTATTATTATTATTTTTTCTCTCATTTCAAAAAGCTATATTCTGTGTGTTTGTATATATATATATATATAATTTGCATTTAAATCTACTATAATATCATTTATTAAAATAATAATAATAATAATAATAATAATAAATCCATTATCATCATCATCACCTTTTTTTTTTTTCAATTGAAAAACGAATGATTGCAATCGGTCATGTATATCTTCTGCATATTGTTTTAAAAGCTTAGCCGAAATTAAATATTTTATATATATATATAATAATAATAATAATAATAATAATAAAAGTTAAATTAATAATAATAATAACAACAACATCTCAAATCGATTAAGGCTCTTTTGTTAGGCTTTGATTCCGATCAATAAAATAATTAATACTTTTTTTATATTAACACCATGAAAAAAATGGACTTTTATCTTGAAAACTTTGCGTGAATGAATCACCAAACGATCGAAATTTCGATGTCGTTCCAACTCTTCCTTTTAATCTGGAAAAAAAAAAAAAAATTAATGGTTTGCAACGTTTATTTAATAGATTATGGGGAGGCATTTGGATAAATTACCTTTCTAATGTCACAGAATGCATTTGAACTAATTGTACGGGACTTTTACCATCCATTAGAGCTTGTTTTAAATTTAATATTTGTCCTCTCATAACGCTCATTTGCCTCTCGAACAAATGACTATCGAAACCTTTATCCATCTGTAAAAATTAAATATTCCTTGCAATAATAATAATAATTTTTTTTTTTTTTTTTTTTTTCAGGTTGGCAAACATTCCCTCACCTCGAACAAAACTTTCAAATCGTCCACAACATCATCTATAAAACTTTGATCACTCACTAAGGGTAACAAATGTTGACGAATATCGGAACTGAAGGGGATTTTAGCCTGGGGTAACCATGCCCAATAATAAGGATAAGCTCTCCACGAATCTGGATGCTTAAAAGGAAATGCTAAACCGTTGTCAATTGCAGCTATTTTTATTTTCGGGGATTCGTTTCCCGGCCATTCCTTTAACAAAACAAAAAAAAACCGTTAAGTATTTGAAACGTATATATATAAGATAATGTGTGAATTCCAAAGTACTAACGGTCACTTCCGTCATTTCACTTCCGTTTGCATTTATCGAAGGTTTACCATCACCCGAACAATATTTAATTAACCAATTATCGTTTCCTCTATCCGTATTTCTAATTATGTAATCCAATGCTACGAGACGTTCGAATTGTATTTGAAATTCCGTTTGTACAACGGGGGGAGGGGGTTCACTTTCGAATCTTTTCAACCAATATTCGGCATCCTTATACCCATCGACAAACGTTTGAAAAGACCCAACCTAAAAAAAAAAAAAATATAAAATTTAGGCGAATTCTTATCGTGTAATTAATTATGAAATATGGCGGCGTTACTAAAAAAGATAAAATTTGAAAATAAAACCATATTAATTATTATGATATTCAAGGACGAAAAATGTGTTGAACTTGAATATTTTATCACGATATTTTATTGATTTTCCTTTTTTCTTTTAGAAAAACCTACTTTTGGTTTAAGACCGAGCCTGTGAAATCTTCTTCCTACTTTTGGAAACTGATTGCTAATGGCAGTTTTAGTTTTACTTTTTTGGCGATCTAAACGTGAATAATGGAACGTTTCACTGACTAGTTTGACTATTTTCGTTTTTGGCACCACATTTAGTTGAAACCTGCTATCTACCAAATAAGCACCTGCTTCAGATAAATATCCTTGATTTGGAATAAGGCAAGATCTACCGAAGCAACATGGACAACATAATTTATGCATCCATTTGGTCCATTTTGGATTTAGGTGACCATAAGGCTCTTCATTTTTAGGTTTGAATACCCCAATTATTCTCTAAAATATTATAAATTACAATTAATTATAAAATTTTATATCATTTTGCAAAAAAATGAAGTAATGAGTAATAATAACGCAAAGACAAATGAAGGACAGATAAAGTTCGACTAAAAATTTTCTTTGATATTTACTCGCTGGAACTAATTTTAACAACAAATAAAATATATTTTAATATTATTATCTCATGTATTACTCACTAAATAATACAAGATTAACAAGTGTTAATAATAATAAGTATCATAAGAATTAAAATGATAAGTATTATAGTAAAAAAAAAAAATGAGAATTACCCCTTCTGGATTTTTGCAAAAATAACTACCGCTTGAACCTTGAGAAATTCTTTCTGGAAAAATTCCATTTTCTATAGCAGTTTCTGTATCTTGAATAAGTTTTGCAAACTGAGGATCATCTAAAATTATTTTAAAAAAAAAATATTATTATTAAAAAAATGAATCACATAATTGAATAATAAAAATACAACTAATAATACTTTTATATATACTTTTTTAATTTCTAATTATTATTTTTTTTTTGTAGGAATTACTTCATGAAAGAAATAAATAATGGAGTGTCATGAGTACAATTTGATGGAAATGGCTCTGTTTTACCTACCTGAATATATGGGGTTTTTAATATTAATTTCATTTAGCAGGGAGCCATCAACAATAGTTACAACAGGTAGAGTAAATATTCCTCTTGAAAAAACTAGGATCAAAAATATAATAAATAATAATAAGAATGCTGTCAAAAGGAACAACCATATTTACAATAACAGTTTTGTCAAATCAAATATTTAGCAGGATAGCTGAAGTATTGGGAGTAAAAATTAATTAAAAAATAGGCATATGAATAAAAAAAATTTCCCCTTGAAACAATGACCATACTGTAAGGAAATGTATATTTAAAAGATAAGACTAATGATGTAATACCTGAAATGTGATTGAGAGGTTGTATATCATCACGGGAGAGTAAAGGTTCATTCTCCCGATTAGTGCCTGTTGAATCAATTGTGCCTTCGTTACTGGAGCCCACGATGTTGAAACCTACGTCTGGTAACAAATCAACGGCGTCAGAACCTACTGAGCACAAAGATAAAGAACCAGCTGATACTGCTTTATGCAATTCGTTATTATTTTTTATGTTAGGTTTTTCTACTGTCATGGATAAGTACAATTAAAAAAAAAACCTAAATTCAAAAATGCAAAAATCATAAGCGATTCATTAACAACAACAAAAAAAAAAAAAAAAAAAAAAAAAAAGAAAAATTATTTTTTAATATTATTTTTGTTAAAATTTTACTAAGCTATAATATCACAGCAAAACATCTGACTACTAAGTTAACTTTTTTTTTTTTTTTTCTTAGTTGGTCACATGTAATCGTGGCAATACAATTTTTAATTACGTGTATATAAGTACATGTCAACTGTTACACATTTGACATTGTCATTTTTAATCAATTTATTTTTAAACGTACCTTTTATAAAATTATTTAATATACTCTGTTTATTATACGTTTATTTAAATGTTGTTTGTTAACTAGTCAACGGTAATATTTTGTTAAATTAAAAAAATTATTTGCAATAAATAGAAATGCACAGTTTTTTTCCTCTTTTCAATTAATTATCTCTCATTAATGTAAGAACAACTGTTTAATCAGATAATTAAAAATTTAATCCTAATTAACATTTAAAAAAAAAAAGTCAGAATTCAAATTGTATTCAGATTAGGGATAGGTTATTCAAAAAATAAAATATAAAGTTTTAATTCTTCATTTTTATTATTTATCAACTAATCAATTGATAATTTTTTATAAAATTAGATTCAGTTTTACTTCCTTTTACCAAAACTAAAAATGACGGTTTCCAATCTCTGACAAGATAACTAAAACGACAAAAAAAAAAAATTTTATTTTATCGATTTAAACCTTAAATCATTTACATAATTATATTAATTTATTTATAATTGCTTACTTTCCAGAAGTGAGAACCTGAAGAAGTGTTTTGTTTAAATCTACAGAGTACAATTTACTTCTATCAGATCCTTCATAGTATATGGATAATGTATTCGGTTTGTATTTTTTAAATGTATCCCATGGTGGGGATTCTGTGAACATTTCGACAAGATGATCGAAAAATCTGAAATCAAATTTGAATCATTAAATATCTGGCAGTTTTAAGATTTGCAGTGTTTTAATATTTTTTTCTATGGAATATTGTTTAAAAAATAATAATTTAACATACATATCATTTTCATTAAATTGTTGAATGTAATCTGACATGGAGTACTCTGGATAGAGGAAAAAAACAGGCCAATACAAAGTTCCATTTTCTAAAATTGGTTTTTCCGAAGCAAACTCTAACGAATTCAATATATCTCCATCTACTTCGACTGGAATATTACGATCCATGACTGCTGATTTAACTGCCTCTAAAGTTGAATGAAATTTTAAATCTGCTTTTTTTTGCTTTCTTTTATCTCTTTCTTGAATTTTCTAAAGTACCATGTAAATAATAACTTTAATTAATAATAATAATAATGGAAAAAATTTTGGGAATGATTCAATTACTCAAAATTTTTTTCAACCTTATATGTTTGAGCCTCAGACTGGATTTTTATCGCATTGGCATCATTTGGACACATTTTAAGGATGTCATTACAATAATCAATGGCATCATCATACATTTTTAATTTTAAACAACATTGAGCAGCTTTTATTTTTGCTTTATGATATTCAGGAACAAATTTTAAAGCCATTCGACAATCAGCCAAACTCGATCTGTAAGAGAAAAGTTTTGTAAATTTAAAAAGCATTAATTTTTAATTTGAATAAAATTGTTTAAAAAGATAAAAAGGAGGTTCACCTGTAAACAATTTACCTGTAATTTCCTAGATGATAATGAGCAGCAGCTCTATTGCTGTAAAGCTGACTTTGAACTTCATTGTCGTTACAATTTTTGCGAATACCTTCAGTATAACTTATAATAGCCATTCTATATTTCTTATATTTAAAATTAAAATTTCCATCTTCTTTGTATGATTGTGCAAGTTCTTAAAATACATTAGTATAAAAAACACATCAGTTTTTAAAAGAATAAACATAACTATAGAATGATTTTTAAAATATAATTACCCAATGGTGTGTTTTCATTTTCATCATACTTCAATTGCTGAATCCCTTCTAAAAGAGGAGAAAGTGTTCCATCTTCAGGAACTTTGGTCATAAAAAAAGGATGCTTTTCCATCTCCTAATATATAAAAATATGGTTAAGATAAGAAATATAATTTGTTTATTAATAAAATTGATTTAAAGTATTACTTCTTGCCATTTATCTTCTGGCCATCCTTCTGTATATCTTTTTTTTTCAAGTCCATCAATGAATTCATCCAATTCTTTATCTAGTTTAGCAGCTAGAGCTAGCCTTTCTTCATGTGTCATAGGTTTTTTTTTTGCACCATTATTTTCTTTAGTTGTATCCATGGCTTAAAATCTTTTTTTTTAAACTTGTGCTGCATTAAAAATACAATATTTAAAACCCCTTTATCAAAAAAATTGGTAATTTAATGTTACATATTACTCAAAGCTTATCATGTAACTTACTTTTATAAATATCGTAATTCTTAATTAAAATTATTTTATTATAAGGAATAAAAACATAACTGAATTATTAACAACATGCCAAATACCATGTGTATTTTATTCGTTATTGCGCATGTCCTAAATGGGGCTCAACATTTCACAAGATTGCAGAAATATTATTGAGATTCATTATGTGATTAAATTAATTTTTTAAACCATTGTGTGAAATATTAGCCAAAATAATTACATGTCAGCCATCTTGAATAAGAAACCCTTCCTTAATGCTTAACCACTCACTGCTAGTTGGGTTATTTTGTCTTAAATAAATTATACATGATTTTTATTAAGAACAATATGATTTTAAGTAATTATAAATTATTAAATATGCCAATATCGACATGTATTTGAAAATTTAAATATTAGAATTTCAAATGTTAAAACAGGGGAAAAAAACAGTTATTAAAACAAAAATGGGGTTTGAATGATTTTTATTTTTGAAATATGTTTATCGAACTTAAATATAATTAATATAATATAAAAAGGAAATTTATATAAAATAAATAAGGAATATTTAATTTTGAAGATAAAAAAAGAGAATAATTTATTAATGGGAAACATATTAATTTTGAATCTTTGTTTAATTTAAGAAAAAAATTTCCTTATCAAAATTAATACATAATTTAAGCGACCGTCGCGCTCCTAGCGTCGAAATGAATAACTTTAACCTAAGTACTCTTGTGAATTTCGTACTGGCAGTCCAGCGCATGTGGCGGATAGTGTTATGCGCTTAAGTGTAGCATTTTTATTGTGTTCGTGTTAATGTACAAAAAAAAAAAAAAAAAATTCATATAAATCTCATATAATTATGATTATTGTAAATTAATTAAATGTTAAAAAAGTTATTGGATATTTAATTACAAATCAATCATGGCTTTGGAAAGAAATTATTCCAACAACGGTGAGTGTTTAAACCAAAAAAAAAAAAAATTAACACAAACGAAAAAAAATTACCGGCCATAAAACATTTCGTTACAAACTACTTTGTTGAATTTTAATAGTAAATTCGAAATTTATATCGTTAAAATATATATATATATTAATTAATAATATTTGCGTATATATTATAT